TGCGGCCTTGCCTTCTTCCCCGTGGGGGGAATACAAGAAGAAATGTCTCTCCGTGAGTCGTATCGCTAGCCAGATTAGCTGCAGTAAATTCAACCTTTATGTTATCATAACAAGTGTTGGTGCTTTTGCGTTTCATTTTCCATCCATTTTGGCGGCATAAGACGTCGTAGGGGTGACCACAGAATTCATGAAGTTATTCTAAGAACTGGCTGGTATGTAGTGAACGAAAGCAGAGCTTAGCTGGCTCAAAAAAATATTTATGGTCATCCCTCGAAATGACCACCAAGGTCAGTACGATAAAATGGAGTCAACTGGAGTGATAATACATGAAGGAATGAGTTCTTTTCCCTCCCCCACACACACCCCTATCGTCACAGGGGGTGACCACAGTGTTCTGCCTTAATTTGTGGCGTTTTTCTAAGAACTGTCTGCCATGTACTGTGCGAAATCAATCGATCTTGCAAGAATAAAATTTGGACATCCCTCTTCTAAGAATTCCAATTGAGTGTGTTAGTGTGGCCAGCTCAGGGCAATATGATATTATAAACACAGCACATATCAGGTCTCTGCTGTTTATAACTTCATAGGAAAGAAAACACGCCATTCATAACAGTTTGAACGACTAAACCTCTCCCAAGAGCAACAGGAACTTTGCTGCAAGACAGGCATATGTAACGATGAATTAGCGCAGCTAAACTCGTGTCTCATTAAATACGGTTCTCCTGACAACAGGCCAGCGAAAATCTAACAATCTACAGCAATACCATCAATTATTATTGGCGTTATAACATAGGTGTGCAGCTGGACGAAACATAGACGTCGAACCCCCACAGATGATTTAAATACCTGACGAAACATACGCGTCAAACCACGCTGAACGGTTAAGAAATGACAAACAATGAAATGGCTGGCAAACATATGAGTGAGATTTTAGTAATAAATGCCAAAGTTATGCTTGAATGATATTTTATGGATTATGGGCATGTCTAGCCAACATTACACCAATAATTTTCATTGTTAAGTTTAAACAAATATGAGCAACTCATTAACAGTTTAATAAAGCTTTCTCAACCCGCATATAACCTTCTAATGTCAAAAGGAATGAGGTAAAATAACTTACATTTTGTGACAACAGTATATATTTACAATTTACAAATAAATACTTCCAACTCAATTTCCTCTTGCACTCAACCTATTCCACATCGCATCACCATAGGCAAAAGATGATACTACAAAGACTTTAAAGTTACTGCAGCAGAAATGAAGATCACTGGAGCATAAACATGTAATGTCAATGCTACCACAGCAACTTCACTTAATTTTGGACAAATGAAGGACTAAAAATAATACTTACGTGAGGGAATCTTCTTGAATACAGTCTTTGCCATGAAATCCTGAAATCTCTGTGCATAGAATCCTGGTCGATGGACAGAAACTGTATCCTGTAAACATTGTAACATCAATGTTATATTTTAGCGTCCTGTTGCACTGATTTAAGTCCATGATTTATTTAAACCGTCTTGCAGTGCATACACTCATTTATCTCCTTATCTCCCTCGCACTACATGTTTCGGCATAACAATGCCATCTTCAGGTGCTTACTTATCCACGCCAAACCAGTTCATTGCATGCCTTGTTCTCATATTAAAATAATCAAAATATGTATCTATCATATACTCACTATAACTCACTCAAAACGAAGACAGAACACACACACATACCCAGGAGGCCCAACAGTATAACACACGCAGTCACAGGAGCAAGACATAACAAAAGCACAACACACACAAGACAGTGAAGGAGTGCTCCAACAGAGGAGAATGAGCGTGACTGGCGTAGTGAGGGGCGACATAGCGATGTGGTATCCTGAACAATTTTAATATTTTTAACGTTTGACAATGTATATGATAGATACATATTTTGATTATTTTAATATGAGAACAAGGCATGCAATGAACTGGTTTGGCATGGATAAGTAAGCACCTGAAGATGGCATTGTTATGCCGAAACATGTAGTGCGAGGGAGATAAGGAGATAAATGAGTGTATGCACTGCAAGACGGTTTAAATAAATCATGGATTGTAACATCAAGTTTAGAAATTATGCCTGTTTTCTCACACCTCAGATATATAAAAAATTTTACTGTCCACGTAAATATCACCAAAAAGCATTATTACAAAATTACAATGCAGTAGACTGCATTGTAGAGTAACACAGCACTTCTCAGACTCCATTACTTCTGTAATAATACTGCCCATTAAATCTATTTCAGCAACATGTATCAGTGATACTTCACAACAATCTGCAGTAAACTATACATCACCTCAGTATGTATGTATGCAATTCCCTCTTTTATTATTTTTATTGTGTTTTACACTGACCTTCCATCACACACAAGAAGGGTTGCTTTCTTCAACTGGGGGCAAATTTCTCTCTGTGTTTACTAATGAGTCACACAACCAGTATGTAATAATTAAGTGACTTTTCTGGATGAATGCTCCACCCCATGGTTTGTAATTATCCAAGCAAATTCTCCCCTCCTTAATGGTAAACAACCAAGAGTTCACTGTATTAGTAAATTACCCTGAACAGAAATGAGCTACTGTTATCAACAAAAAAAGTGTCAATATGTACACATTCAGCGATAATCAAAGATAAAATATCTCAGCTGTGACCCAACTAAAAATGACTGAAATATACTATATTAAAAGACTGGGAACAAGAAGCCTTGCCAACTTCCTTCTGGAGACAGTAAAAATATAAACATGAAAAAAAAAAAAATATATACACACAGACACATGTAAGTACCAAATGATTTTATTTTCTGCAGCAGTTAGCACCATGTAAAGCAGCATGAAAGACACAGAACATACCCCATCATGAATCATGGCCTTCCATGTATGTTCTAGCTTCTTCTTTAGCCGGTAACTCTGAAGAATGTCGATGATGCCAATAAATAACAATAACCGCTCACCCCGGGAATTCCGTGCCGGGATTCCACCAGGTCTGCCACAATATATCAAAATATTAATGTATCAAAGTCTACAAAATAGCAGAGGGATATGCATTTCTGATATCCTCCAAATTATCCAACTTCATCTTCACACACACATATATTGAGAAAGTAATTAGAAAGCTTTTGGTCAGCATGACTCAGTGTCATGACCGGTGATTGGACTGCATTGCTTAATGCACACTAGAGGCTGGATCACTGTCCCTTTAAATACGAAATAATATCCGTTTTAATGAACATCAAAAGTACCAGAAAATTAATCTGAAGACACAAGTGCCTTGATTATTAATACAAAAATTTTGCAAAGAGTGACACCTTTGAGCACCCAGTCAATCAAAGCTATCACAATTTGACTCTACAGACCCAACTGATAAATATTTCTCAATATGATTTATCAGTCAAGGAATACAACCTTTTTTACAATGTTCAATTTTTAATTCCCAGAAACTAGAGTGCAATTTCTTCTTCATGCAGTCAGTGCCATGACAAATCATATGCATCATCAAAAGTCCTTCCTTCTTTGAAGGAATGTTGTCATAAATTATATCGATACTGCATTGTGTACACATACTAACACATCAATTTAAATATGAACAAAAACGTCTGCAGCAAGAATATACAGCATATGGATTTTATGGCCACAAATGTGGCTATGTTACTTTGTTTAATTGTCAGATTATTAAACAACACTGTTCAAATGCTGGAGTTGCATCACATCGGATATCATAAAGAATGGTGATTATGGCGAACTGCAAACTAGTGAGGAGCACAGTTCAAGATACTATTCCAGCGTTTGCTTGGAGAGAGAGACTAAACTCACAAAGCCCTCATCTAAGACTTAAACTCAACATCAGTCAGTGTTATCACTTTCACATTACTGTGTTGTGTTTATCAGATTGCCAATAAATAAAATTTTCCCTACCAAAGTTCACTTGATCTTAAATTTTTCATGTTTATATGGAATGCAATACAATAAAGCATACTGTATCTGCGATCCTACAATCTAAAACTTCCATTATCCATAACAAATCACGTAACAATTCAAAATTGTGCCTGCAAATTAAAAAAAAAAATGTTGAATTCCCTTGCACTTCAATACATACACAGCATATCAATCTGGGCATGACAGTGCATCCATTCTGCCAGTCTGATGAAACCTCTCATGACAGTCTGTTGCATGTATGTATTTATGTATGCATTCCTTGGCTGTTATTTAATACTTTCACCTGCTTCTGTAACAATCTGGCATCCAAAATCTTCTACTATTTGAAACTGCCTACTTCCCAACCTCTCTTCTTACAGAGTGGCCCACTACAGTTCACTGAACCAATCTGTTTCGGATGGACTTGAACCTTACAATTAAAACACTATAGTAACATTCAATCTGAGTGATGAATTTCATGTAATTAGACAAATATCCATTACAAAGCTAAGTAATGAAGTTAAGATTTATGGTCTTAGTGTTCTGGCCCTCGACTACATACCTACAACTAGTCTGCATAAAATACTGTACTGCACTGGAAGGGCAAGAGTATCTCTGAGCAGTGTTCATAATTTGGATTACACAAACAATTACGATACCTGAAGAGAGAAAGACTCAGTAACTGTAACGTATGGAATAGCCTTCACTTACGGAACATCCTCCTCTTCATCTATGGGTTCACTCTCAGCCTGAATACTCTCCATGGCAGTTGAATGTGCAACTAACCGCTGTCTATTTATAGACCGTGACCGATTAAGAGCAGCTGATCCTCTTTCTCTCTCCTTATCTTCGGCTGTAATTTCTTGGTCTTCACTATCCGCAGATTCAAGCCGTGGGTTTGTTTTCTGTTCCTGTCAAATGTTAATATCATATTCAATTAATTACATGTGCAGAGAACTTTCAAACACAAAACCTAGTAAGATCAGATATACAGACTAGCTGAGAAAGGAGGGAAAGCTTAATGTAGTGGTACTGATACAAATACAGTGGAACCTCGCTTAATGAGCACCTCTCATAACGAGTAATTCGCAGAACAAGCAAAATAAATTGTAAAAAAAATTACTTACTTAATGAGTGTTTTGCATTACAAGTAAGATTCTGGAACAAATTATGCTCGTTAAACAAGGTTCCACTCTAGAGTAATAAAGTCTGTTCATTCTCTGATATGCTTTTACATGTAAGATTTGAGGCTTTCACGGCAGTGACTATGAAGAAAGCAGTCTTCTGGGATTTGGCACCGTGTACATGTGGTGTTAACCGACGTTTCGGAGGAACGTATCGCCTCCATCTTCAGGGTAGAAGAAAAAATATAAGAAATCTGCAAAGTGAAGAGACCGTGAGAACCGGTCGGTTAACACCACATGTACACGGTGCCAAATCCCAGAAGACTGCTTTCTACATGCTTTTACATTTTCTCACTTAAATTAAGCACTCATAAAAACAACAATATGTGGCACCCAATCTGTCCAGCAGGCATCCCTATACACTGACAACTCAGATAAAATTCCTTTTACCAGATTTGGCATGGCTGATGAAAGGGTCATTATTATTTTACTCAAATGAATTTGTATCATAATGCCTCGATTCTAAGAATAATAAACCTGCACAAAAATATTCACAATGCAGATCAACATCTATTAAGTACCATTTTTGTGTGCATAAAGGAAGAACAGTCCTCTCAACAGACACATTCAGATTCAACATAGCGAAAAACATTCTGTTCAGCAAGGTCCATTTCAAAAACTTGAAGTCATTTGCATATTTTTTATTACTACGACTGCATCATTATGTTACATTCTGCAAAGTACTATAACGAACAGACAAGCCTTGAGTCATCTTGTGTCCCCAACTCCATAGCATTTATCCTTGAAAAAAAAATACTCAAAATGCATAAGGAAATATGTCTCTTGCCAGTAAGGACGATTTTCCTCATGCATTGTGCACACAACAAAATTCATGGATACCAAGTACTGTGGTTGGGAAAACTGGATACAAATGAAAAACTATGATACTTTAAATCTGCAGTTCGCAACGGACTATACTGCAGCAGTCTTAAACAATGACTCAAGTATTCTACTCAACATAATTTCCTGATACTACTGGTTATACTATGAACACTTGTTCACATTTCATCAAATTAAAGTTGCTCACTGTCAATATTACTAACATTGTGGGACACATGTGACAGTAGCTCTACGTGGTCATTCCTCAAACCACGCTCTGGCAAAAAACTGACATTTTCAATAGATGGAGGAACTACTACTCTGTTATTGAATGTACATACGGTCATTGATGTTAGGCAGGCAGAAATCCATACAGCTGAGCCGTTAATACCTGATCCTAGCCCTTTTGTGGTTGAAAGTGCCATTGCAAAATTGAAACAGTATAAATTGCCAGGTAGTGATCAAATTCCGGCAGAACTTATTCAAGCATGAGGCGAAATATTACGTTCTAAGATCCACAATCTAATTACTTCTATTCGACATAAGGAACAATTGCCTGATCAGTGGAAGGAGTCTATTATTGTGCCAGTTCACAACAAGGGTGATAAAACTGACTGTAGTAATTTTCAGGGAATATCACTGCTATCAACTTCATATTAAATTTTGTACAATACTCTTCTTCCAAGGTTAAGTCCATATATACATGAAATTATCAGCGATCATCAGTGTGGGTTTCAACATAAGAGATCAACTACAGATCAGATCTTTTGCATTTGTCAGGTATTGGAGAAAAAATGGGAGTACAATGAGACAGTACATCAGCTATTCATAGACTTCAAGAAAACCTATGATTCAGTTAGGAAGGAAGTATTGTACAATATTCTAATAGAGTTTGGGATTCCCATGAAACTAGTTAGGTTGATTAAAATGTGTTTAAACGAAACGTATAAGAAAGTCCACATAGGTAAACATTTGTCAGATAAATTCCTATCCAGAATGGTTTAAAACAAGGAGATGCCTTATTGCCATGCCTTTTCAACTTTGCCTTAGAATATGTAATTAGGAAGGTCCAGGGAAAGCAGGTGGGACTGAAATTAAACGGGACACATCAGCTATTGGTCTACGCCGATGATGTGAATCTACTGGGTGATAATGTAGATACCATGAAGAACTTTAATTGACGCAAGTAAAGAGGCTGGACTAGAAGCAAACACAGAGAAAACTATGTATCTGTTACTGTCTCATCACCAAAATGCAGAGCAAAATCAGGACATAAAGATAAGAAACAGATGTTTTGAAAATGTGGCACAGTCCAGATATTTGGGAACGCTGATAACAGATTGAAACATGTTTCAGGAGGCAATTAAGAGGCGACTGACTCGGGTAATGCTTGCTACCATTCAGTCCAGAACCTTTTGTCTTCTCGTCTGTTGTCCAAAAACAGAAAAATTAGAATATACAAAACTATACTGTGGTTCTGTATGGGTGTGAAACTTGGTCTCTGACATTAACCTTTATGAGTTGAAGGACACTGTATGGGGACCTTTAAAGTAAAGCCGAGTGGCCGAAAAACACTGTATGGTGACTCGCAGTCCACGCATGCGCAGTGTTTTAAAATCTAATTTTAAGATAGAAATTCTTGTTCTACTTACATTATTTTTGGACACCCGCTTTATAAGTAGACTGTCTTCCCTCCTGCATCATCTAACTGAATGTTGCATATAACTGAATGTAGAGTCCAATGCCACAATTCATGCACTTTGTCCGTATGTAACTCTGTTTTCCACGCGAAGCGCACACATGCAACATCTGTCTCGTATTAGCAGGAAGTAAACCAGTGATGGCAAGTGGTCTCCTGTATTCGTAACGCTTATAAAACATCACAATTTCAACTATGCACCATGGCCCCATTCTGAATGGAAGAAGCCGAAATTCAGAGGCCGCTCGTAAATCACACCACAAGACTGAAAGCACGTAGAAGAAAGGGGCCATGTTGGGGCCTTTCTACATTATTTTTGAACACCAGCTTTATAAGTAGACTGTCTTCCCTCCTGCATCATCTAACTGAATGTTGCATATAACTGAATGTAGAGTCCAATGCCACAATTCATGCACTTTGTCCGTATGTAACTCTGTTTTCCACGCGAAGCGCACACATGCAACATCTGTCTCGTATTAGCAGGAAGTAAACCAGTGATGGCAAGTGGTCTCCTGTATTCGTAATGCTTATAAAACATCACAATTTCAACTATGCACCATAGCCCCATTTCGCATGGAAGAAGCCGAAATTGAGAGGCCACTCGTAAATCACACCATTCAGAATGCAGTACAGTCCGTTATGAAGGGACGAGGATGCAAGGGGCATTGAGGGGAATATTCCAAGAAGTAACTCTGTGCGGATAGTCGACGACATGTATATACAGACACAGTTTCATAAGGACAAAGAGGGATAAGAACTCGCCCACACACTCCTGTATACAAGAAGCGACCTGACTGAAGAATGTGCAATGAAAACAAACATCCTCTCTCCACCAGATAAGACAGTCAGGCCATGAGTCAGCAGCATGCATTTATACTGCAGAAAGGTTTTGTGCAGAAGCTTTGTGCATTTTTGTAGACAGACGCTCAAAATTGGGGTATAATTTTATTTTGGAATCAATGTAACAATTTTTAGATTCTAAAATCTGTAAATTACAGTATCTGATTCTATACACTTTCTAGATAAAAGTAGCGTTTATTTCGTTCATCACAAAAATTGTAGAAATCATAGCATTTTGAGTAACATGATTACAATTTTTATTACTCTACAATGGTGGACATTTAAATTAACTCCATCCCGCTGCCACTACCAGAATTTAAATGGCCCGTCACTTAAAGGTTAATATACCGTGGTGGTCCTGGGGGTTGACTCAGCATCTAACAGGGTATATTTCAATGAGAGTACACTTCAAACGTTATTTCCCTAACTTGTCTTTTTCATTTCGAAGTAAGTACCCAAGTCAAACGGAAATTTATTCCAAGTAAAATATTTTAAGATCTCTTGTAATTCTGCTGTAAACAGTTCTTATTGGGTAATTCCATGTGAAATCATCCAGAGAGGACGCTTACCATTTTTAAAAATATCAAATTTTGTACACTTCTTTCTACATATTTTCACACCTTAAAATATTTAAAAAAATTATAACCCGCTTGGTTCTCCCGGTACAGCCGTTTTTATAATGTGAAAAAAAGCGTTTTCGGCTCAAATGGAGGTTTGCGTTATCTTCTGTATCTCGATAACTATTGCAGCTAGAGACTCCAATGGAAAACCAATTTGTTCCTCATGATATTAAATTTTACAGATTTTGCAGAAATTTTTCGTTTCTCATTCAAGATGAGATTCAAAGTTTCCATTGGGTAAATCAACAGGCTACACGTCACCCTTTTGTGTATTACTACAAGGCGGACTCTATAAGAAAATGCCCTAACTTGTGTATAAATCAGTGATCATGTAAAGCATGATAGAGCCACAGTTTGTGTGTTCCAAAATTTTCTTATCGCCAATATAAAAGAAAATGTGCCTTCAGTCAGGAAAGTTATTTATTTCAGTGATGGCGCTGGAAGCCAGTATAAAAACAAAAAGAATCTTTCCAATTTATGTCATCACTATGAAGACTTCGGACTTGAAGCAGAATCGAACTTCTTTGCCACCTCACACGGGAAGAATGCCTGTGACGGCATTGGCAGCACCACGAAGAGGCAAGCAGCGAAAGCCAGTCTTCAAAGAACTCATTTTAATCAAATCATGTGCCCGCTAGAACTGTAAATATTCTGCACAGAAAATATTCCAGGAATAGTTTACTTTGTTGTGTCAAAAGAGGAAGTTGCAAGAACTGAAATCATTCTAAAAACCATGTTCCAAAAGTGCA